CAAGAGATTCTTTTAACATGTAGGAGATATTAATTTCAAATCGTTAAATTTCCCAGTTGCTGAAAATTTTCTTCTTTAAAAAAATCTTGCCTAGAATGTGCAAAAGCAGAGGTTTGGGACCTAACATCATAATTCAAAGATACTTTTTCATGAGATCCTATCAACCACAATAAGGGAATATATGTTTTTTAACACAGTGCACTGCATATTGCAGTTATTTTGACAATGCAGAGCTCTGAGAGAGAATGAATGTCTTTATTTCCATTTTACTCCTGTTCAACTGAATCATAGAGTTAAAGCAGTTGCCTGGGGTCTCACAAGGCTGGTGCTGTAGCAGAAATAAAGATCACATTTGGGTTGATTCACAAATGTCAACAAATGACAGCTGCTCAACTGCAGGACCCATGACCATGTTTTCCTCCTGCTTCTCTCCACAACAGCATGCTTCATTCTGGTGGTGACACATGGTGATATGCTGAAGGTACACAGAAGCCATGAGAAAGTCACAGTGCTAAAACAAAAAGAGCTGGAGAAGTAGAAGATTTAATTTTTGCAAGGCGTTCATGAATAATGTAATCCTCCTTAGACTTTCATTTCGAGGATCTTCACTGGGGTCATTGATGTTACAGAGTGCTGTATAGAGCATAAACTGGACTTTTATTTATATAGTGGCATGGCCAAATAACAGACGAGAAAAATTATGAAGGGAAAGGAGTTGCTTTGTCACATTTATTGCTCTCAGCCTTATCATATTTGGCTCTTGGTGCAGACAGCTCTCACTCTGAAATATTTCTGTCATCATCTGACCCTAAAAAATTTACAGAGCATCTGAATAACTGATAGAATTTATGGTTTTATTGGTGGGAGCCATTATATCCCCTCCCCCCAAATAATGTTAGAGAGGAAGCTCTGCAACACACAGTAAAAAGTGGAGCAGCTATTTAAAGAAAGAAGAGAGTAAGAAAATCTTAATATGCTTTCTGAACATGATAACTCTGAATAAGGCAGAGTTTGCAAACATCCACTGCTAGAAGTGCTGCAAAGCAAATGGAGCCAGTGTGCTGTTGGGGTTACAGGCTTTACAGAGAAAATCTTACAAGGTCTACCTTCAAAAAAACACCAGTCGCTGCTACTTTTTCATTTTATACTTGTTAACTTGATAATGTTTACGTGAATTTGCAGTGTTACTGCACACCTTGCATTCTGTCCTGCAAGTGAAATTATGGGAAAGGTGGCAAATGATCAGGTAACGGTTTCTATTACATAGGCTCGTGTGTGTAACTTTGTTTTATTCTGGTCTGTTCTGTTTAGGCTTATATCAAGATACTAGCTAATAGAGATGATTCACAGACTTTATCTAACCAATGCAGGCCTATCTCAAGCTGACATCTACACCTGAAACAGCCATCCAAAATTCCAGTCTTAGTAAAAAGTGAGAGACTGGCATGTTTATAGCTTTTTTTTTTACTATAGTATAAATATCTGCCTTCCACTTAGACGTATTTTGTCCTAAAAATACTTGTTTCTTACCTTTAATTAAAAAACCCCACATGTACATAACAGATTTGAAGTTAGGTGAGACAAAAACTTCTCAAAAAAAATCAGGGTCTATACTGTCCTTACACGTACACAGTAGTGACTATGGAGCATAGACCACAGACATGGTAGTTAAGGAAGCTGGAGATACACTATCTTTTGATGAGTCCTTACCAAAGCACATGATGTAAGCCTTTTAGTTCAGCAAACATATGAGTTTTCACACTATACTATGATCTGGGGAAAAAAACATAGCTGGTAGCACTGGTTTGCAGTTTGGTGGAAGATCTTCCCAAAGCAATGAATATCTCTATGATACCAAAAAGTTACTCAGTTTTGCAGACCCCAGCTCCTACAAGTATGTCACTCAGCAATATTTTTAACTGAAAATTAGATGTGAAAGGTTCCTTGTAGAGTGAAAAGGAAAAATAAGCACCTAGGAATTAGATGCAGACTAGAGCCTGTTGAGTGGAGAGTTTCCTGTGGAGACAAGCAGGAAACGGCTGAGGAGCTCTAAGAAAAAAGCATTTCATTGACAAGTGAGGCATTGCAGTAAGAAGCTACAGCATCTGGTAGGCAAGTGGTTATAGCACTCATCTGGAATGTGCAGATCAAATTCACATCCTTTCGGTGTTCATCTCAGTGACAAAATTGTGCAAGCACTATGAAATACTCTGTGGTATGGCCTTTTCAATGTCTGCGTGTGTTTGGGACACAGAGACAGAGAATGTCTTCATATTGCACTGGGTAAGATTTGCATTTAGGAAGGGGAGAGTCTGTTCCCAGTCCCTAGGCCAATGTATTTTTAAGTGTTTTCATACAACATGGAACAGTTTCAGCAGGGGTGGTTGAGAAAGGTCCACTTCAGATCAGTCTACGATCTGGTAGATGTGACCATTTCCTACTTGAAGTACAACATAGGTTAAAGACAGCTAAAGTAGACAGAGACCCTAAAGTCTGCTGAAACTTTGCATTGTGCATGCTTTAGATACCAAAGTGCTGGCCTAAAATCTGGGCACTCACTTTAGTACGTCCTTGGAAACATGTACTAGGTGAGGCCCTCCTAGGCTTGGTGTAATAGATCCGTGTTGTTTTCCAGGCACACAGGTGCTTCTGAAAATTATATGGGCTTTTAGGCTTTTAGTAGTGTAATTCTGTACATACTGGGGATACACAGAAAAAATTACATAAAGTGATTCGAAAACAAAGGGGTCAGCTTTCACTCATTGCAGAACTTTTCCTTTTATTTACTTTTAATATGTTGTTGGAAGCAATTACTTTCTCTTTTCTCATTTAAAGCTGTGCACGGTGTGGCAATGGCTAAACAACAAAACAAGCTACGTACCTGCCAAATAAGTCGTGATTCTCTGATTCCAGCCCAGCAGGCTGGACTTAAAATAATCCAGCTGGCTCAGCAATTGTGTGGATGGCATTTATGGGAGCACTGTGAAAGTGGCAGGAAGACTAACTCACGGCTTCCTTTATTATTTTGTCCTCCCTGCTTTAAGCCCACTGGGACAGGATTTGCACAGTCAGAAATGCTGATTCTTGTGGCTTCAGCTCCCTGCTTCATGCTGTTTCTGGCAGCACAGTCCAGCTGTTTATGCATGTCTAATATGTCTCCCAAGGGCATTTGTAAAGGAAAACAAGCTGCCCCTTCAGGGAAGGAAACAAACAATCTAAACTGAGCTGCATTTTACAGAAATTGCAGTGCCTTTATTCCTACTGTGCCTCAGCCTGTGGCACAGAGTGTCTGGGACACTGTCAAGTTTTCACTGGGTTTCACAGCTGCTCAGTAAACATGTAACTTGCAAGATTTATTTTTAATGTGTAGGGGAAAGAAATGCATACCTGCTGTGTATCTAATTGAAAGGCACAGATTCACTGTCACCTTAGCCTGCTAAATTCTCCTCTTGCAGCTCAGCCTATGCATGTTGTATTGTGGGCATTGCAGTGTGGAGCTACACTACAGCCTCAGATACTGAAAAGTGCGTTCCCGTGATGAAGGCTGAATAACAGTACATGGCTCCTCTGAAATGTCCTGCTCAGTGTTCAGGATCTGCAGGATGCAGCTCTGTATCCTTTCTGCCATCCTTTAAATGCCCGTTCCCCTGCTCATACTGCTTGCTGGAGCACATAGTGCAATATATTACATGTGACGTTGACAAAAACTGTTCTACAGACTTTGAAAAGTGATGCTATTCAAGCATATCGTAAAAAGGAGCAAAATTTACTGAAACAGGTGTGCTTCTCTTTGTCGTGAAATGATAGCCATGACTGTAAGAGCAAGGTCTTTTTGAATCATGTGTGCAAAGGGTAGAGGTGGAGTTGTCCGTGGTAAAGATCAGGTCTCCTAAACATCAGTGTTAGATGCACAACAAATCCTTCTCTGCTCTCTTTTCAGACCACTGATTGCATTGACTGCATTGACATATTTGGCCTGCAGGGTATTATTCAGATGTTAAATACCTGTGGTTATAATTTTGGGGGGTTTAGGTAAAATCCATTTTACTTATCTTGATCCACTTGTGTGATGGTGCCATTTGAGGTGACCTTGGGTATCTGAGACATCTCAAGAGAACTGGTTATTATGATACTGGAGATTTGTTCTCTGCTGGATTAGCAAATGGAGGTTAGGTACCTAATGTGGCAGTATGTGATGCTTTTATTCAGACTACGCAGTAAAGCCCCATGTGTCTATGCATAGAGAGTGTTTTGAAGCTCGTCTTTACAGACATGAAGATGGAGAAAGACTATTTGGGTGTTATGCTTCTCACCCTAGAGAAGACGTCTAAAACAGTTCAGATGAGTTGCATTCTAGAAAAGCCTGTTCTTCTTCATTCCTCGATTTATTTATATCAAAGTAGTTTAGGCAACTAGCTCACATGCATGTTGTAGACATTAAAATTCAGATTATTTTTTAATTCCACCCTGGTTCTAATACCGGATAAACAAAAAAGACAACCTGCTGTTGCCTAATCATAAGATCTCTACTTAAAAACTGCAAGACTACAAAGAAAGGCAGAGACCAAATACAGCTATGGAAAACAACATACCTTTGATATGCATAGTGTGTAACTAATTAATTGGCTACTGTTTACCGCAGTGTGGGTAATACGATAAAAATCTTGTGACTTTACAGTGCTGTAATAGATCTGATTTTATTTTGCAGCTGAGATTGTGACTGTAAAAGCAATTGTATTTTTAGACTAATCCTGATTATTTTCCTTAAGGAGGTAGGTCATAATTTGTGTATTCTTTGTGAATGTACATTTCCATTAGTAGTTGGGTTATTTATTTATTATAAGCTAATAAAACAAACGGAAACACAAAAAAAAGAAAAATCCCACCTCGTTGAACAACTGGAACTCATGCTGTGCAGAAATGTGTTTATTTTTCATGTCAGTATCTTCAGCTTATGAAGAAGTTTGAAATACAACATGCGGTGTCTTACTTCTTTCTAGGTCTCCTATGTAAAAGCTATTGACATCTGGATGGCCGTGTGCCTTCTCTTTGTCTTTGCTGCATTACTGGAATATGCAGCAGTCAACTTTGTTTCACGACAGCACAAGGAGTTTCTGAGGCTTCGAAGAAGGCAAAGAAGACAAAATAAGGTACAGCTGCTCTTTACTTGGGGTGACTGAATCTGCCCTGACAGCATGCTGACGTACAGTTGATTTCTCACCTCAGTTCTTCGTGCTCTTGCAGGAGACTCTTATTCTAAAGTTTCCTTTTGAGTGATTTACTCCTTGATAAAGAGCTGAAAACTGGCCACTAGGTTTATTTGCAATTTATGAAGTTATCAATGAATGTTAAAAGATTAGTCACTGATTCCAAGAATTTTCGTCTCTTCTTGCAATTACTGAGGCAGCTCTACCTTTACAAATATTGTGCTGCTCTGTGGCATCCACCAGCAGATAAGGAACAGGTGAAAGCAATGACTATTAACAAAGGGTCTATTTGTGAGTATCGTTATCACTCCATTTTATACCAGTAACTGAAATGTAGAAGAGACAGTTATTTTTAACCTAGGTGTCAGTACAGAAATATTTTTCGTAAGTCTGTCCGTACTTTCTGACTTTTTCTTTGGTAAATGGAAAGGAAAGAATAGACATTAAATTGTATTTTAGTTGTAACCATTCCCACAGCTATAAAGGCTTCATCCTTCTCGTGTCTATGTCACTGGTCTTCAGTATCAGTAGAAACCCTTAGGTTTATACTCTACGTATACATTTGCTACATGAAGTAAATATTGGCTTGAGTTGTGCGAGTGCTTCAAACCATAAATAATTGTTTCCTTTACAAAAGGGATGACAACAATGGCACAGGGCATTTGAGTTTTGAGAGGTCTGTCTAATAAATGTTCTGTAGCTAATGTAATATTTGACGGATGCTCTGTGAAGCAATCCAATGCTGTTCTCTGGTTTAATATTGTCAGGTGAATTGAGATTCCCGCTAAGATTAGATTATAGGAGAGAGCAGAAATGCTTACCTGTCTGCAGGCACACATGCCAGATGCACTGCCACTGTAAGCCTTTGTTTCAAAAACCAGCAAGGCAGAAACAGAAGCTGCTGTAAGGGGTCTGTAATTTCAGGTTTGGATGCGATGTTCATTAGAGGTGAACAACTAGGCAAGCAGCTACCACTGGTAAGTAAAAATATCCAGTGGCATCACTCAAAAATTAAGAGGTTTTGGTCCATGGAAGTGGTCATTCATTTGCTGTGGGAATGATTAACATGGTGACAATTAAAAGAAAGTTATTTAAAGCCAAATCACCAGAAGATCTGTGTTTATCCTAGGCCAGCTGGTACATGGATTCTTTGCAAAATGGGCAATTCCCTAATTAAATACAAGGAAATACTCTGCTGGACTAAAAGACAGCTATGTGTTTGCACAGGCTTACTTTCACTTCTTCTGTGAATCTGGTAGCACGAATTTCAAGATACGGAATAGCGTTACTAAGGCCATCTGTTTAGGAGGTGTTTTCTGTGTCACTTCAGTTTGTCTCTCACGATTTTCTCAGTTTATTTTGCCTTGAAAGTGATTCATGTTGTTTTGCATGATGGTCTTCTCTAACTGAGCCATTCTTCTCTTTCCGTGTTGTGTATGTGTGTCGCCGTGTTACCACTGTACTGTTCTCATCCTTGCTGCTGCTATCTATGCTGACACTCTGGGGACAGGCACAGACTATGACTGTCGGGAATGAAAGCGTCGAGTCCGTGAGGCGCTTGAATGGCTTGCGGAGCAAAGAGTCATCAGCTTACGGGACAGTGAATCAGATCGGCAATTCAAGTTTGAGGGTAAAACCATAGTGAGAAAGAGAAAGCAAGAGAGACTTTTAGTATGTGAAACGATGTCATAAATCAGCAATACAGATGATTTGGATGGCATCACTAGTACTCTCTTGTATTCTCTTTGATAAACGTCCCCACAAAATACACAGTACTGTCCCCAGCATGAACAGCAGTTTTACGTTGTACATTCCTGTAGCCCATCCTTATGCTTGTTTTTTTCCACGATTGGCTTGTGCCACCCCCATTCCAAACCTCTCAAGGAAAGTGCATGTGTATTCGGTAGTCTGGTCCTGTATCTATACAGGGCGAATGGGGGGGACAGGAGCATAGGAAATGCCTTGAGACAATGAATCCCACATCGTGTCATCTTTCAGATGAGTGCATTCCAACAAAATCTGGTATGTATAATGAAATGCATTTTTATTCATGTGGTGATTATTCCTGAACCATTAACCTGCAGTGTTCCTCCTCGTGATGTCCTGAGTCCTGCTTAGTGGAGTATGAGTAGCTATGAATGCAAAAATGTATTTCATTGGTTTCTTTTTATTTGTCTGGTGAAGAGCCATGGGGCTGAAGTCGTTTACAGAGTGTAGCATGTAGCAGATCAGAAGCAATATGATAGCAGCTGATAGATCCAGATTATGGGTGAGTGGTGGAGGTAATAAAATCAGTGATGGAGAAAGAAATGAGCTTAGTGTGCAGCTCACTGCTTGGTGCTGGTGACTGAGAAATGAAATGCACTCATTTAAATAAAATGGGACCAGGATTTAAATCTTTCAGGACCTGATTTCCCAGAACAAGAAACATCGCCTGAGCAGCTTTTGAGCTGTAGTGGGTCTCTGGCTTTGATCAAGCTCTGCAAAGTTATGTGATTATAAGATTCAGATGATTTCAGTGGATTTTGTAGACTGTAAAGGGAATTAGTAGCTTTCAAAATCAAAGAAAAAACAGGGTTCATGTTACACAGCAATAATTAGGACAGAGGGTTTGCAATGCAATAAATTGTTCACTTTCAGAGCTACGATATCAAGCAGTAGAAGAGAGCATTCATTTCTGGATGCTATTGTAGAAATAATCATATTTACACATACACAAAACCAAAAATAAAAAGAAAAATTCAGGGTCTCTCTAGAAGATATGACCAATATTACTATGTTGCCACTGGAAAGCTGATGCCATACAACTACAAAACCAGTACAAGCAAGTACTCAGTGTTGCATGTCTTATCCATCACAAAGTGCTAGTAGTCTAATTAAGGTTCTTGTAAGGCCCAGCTATCCTCTTTCTAAGGAAAGCTTGAAGAAACCTGTCTTCTGCTTTTGAATATTGTGTATTACATATACAGCCGGTGCAGTACACAGAGGGGCCACGTCACTGCAGTACTTTTGCTGCAGGGCCCTAAGAACTGGAGCTGCACTGGCACTCGTTTCCCCTGGAGATCTCCCACCACAGAAGTGATGTGCACTTTAGAGGTGAACAGAGGAGAAGTACCAAGACAGAGGTTTCTGGAGCAATTCTGCCATAGCTGCAGCTTGGTACTTTTCTGCTCAAGAGAAGGTTGTTTACACGCAGAAGAGAACACAGCAATATAGTCTGTGGTGCCACAAGAAGCCTTACAAGAAGGGAGCTTGACTTGCTGTGGTATTGCTCATTGAACCAAGGGTTTGTGTTGAATGCAAATCTAAAAGTCATAGTCAAGAGGAGACAGTGTAAAAAAGGGGTGGTAGAATATTTATACTGCTTCGTTCAGTGCTAATCTGGAGAGATAAATAATAGGTGCTAAATCACACCTGACCAGAATTCCTGCATTTAGCACTTATATCTACAAAATAAGAAGAATATTGTTATCTGTTTTGCAAGTCTATAGCTCTGCCACTTTCTTCTGTTGTGTCTTCTTCTTCTTAGTGTTGGACGCTCACAGCATTGCATGAAAGCGCAAAACACCTTAAAACACCATCATATCTCCTAAGCTAAAGATCAGACTGGTTAATACTTCTCTAGAGAAGTCTGGGTTATATCGCTGATGGTCCATAAACTGTATTTACAGCTGAACCATTGACCTGTTGTTGGATTAGAAAAGATTGCACTATCAGGACCTGTTGCCATCTTCCATACAGAATAAATACCTATATTCTCAGGTAATCAGTGCTTCAGCCTGTCTGCCTACCCTATGCAGTTTCTCCTAGAGGAAGCATTCAGTGCTGGTCCTAAAGATTCATATAGTCTTCCTGCACACAGTGAAATACACCCTTCCTGCTCACAGTAGCAATACTTCACTGCTGACACAAATTGTTGCCTATTTATTGTATATCATGATACTACTTTTTCCATAAAGAGACTACAGGCTTCAGAAGCCATGAGTCTGATAGTACTGACGATGTAGTACGGTTTCGTTATATTAAAAATCTAAAATTGCATAGTGCCAGATCACCTAAAAGAAAATAGCTTTTTATAATATGATTTGTGATAATCAAATAAGATTTGCTTATTTTTCAATTTGATGGGTTTTCAGGGAAGCAGAAGAATTGTGTTTACACAGGTTCAATCACCCTTTTTTGAAAACAGTAATCGTTATATGATCTGTAGTTAAAATGAGTCACAGCACGCTAGTATTCATACCATAATTTCAGAGATGACTTCCTAAATCGTATGTGAAATCGTTATCACTGTGACCAAGAATAGGGGTTAAGTTTGGGACTGTTAGTGTTAAAAGCAATACTTTATAGTTTGAACAAAAAAACTGTGCAGCTGGAGGCTGTGACAGACTTTAATCCCATGTGCAGGGAACACAGAGCAATATAAATAACAATGTTGAAACCAAGGGGGTTCACATGCATGCAGATTAGCAAAGGGAGGCACAAATGGTGTTTTCAGATGAAAGGGCTGTGACTGAAACTAAGTGATTACAGCAGCAGAGGATAACTCCACTAGACAAAGATGGCAGAACTGGTCGAGTTCTTCAGAGAACTGCTGGTCTCTGGATGGAGCTGCCAGTGGCAAGGCGGGTACCCCAAGCATCCTAACAAAGTCACCACTACTGTCAAGGTAACAGTATTTGCATCTTTGAAAAGGAGAAGAGGTACGCATTGAGTAACACCAGGTTTCAAAGGCCATCTCAAATTGAAATCCCTCCATCAGATCACCCAAACAATTTTTAAGAATTTTCAGACTTGCCCATTGAAAAAAAATCCATGCCTTCAGCCTGACTTTGCCTTTAAAACACTTGGTACTACTGTCTCTGGTGGAAATTTTTGCCCGCTAACATCCGTGTGCACCGCACTCGGTGGGAAGACGTGCAAGCTTCACGTTATGTAAGGTG